GACTTACCCTTGCAGATGCTCTGGTATATGCTTGTAACCAAGGTGTTGAAAAGGTATACATCTGTTCATTTGCATGTTTATACCTGTGGTATCCCAATAAATCATAATAGACCCAGGTTGGCTGCCCAAAAGATTTGCTTAGCATTCAATATTGTATATTTTAGTGTTTGATAGATGGGTGATTATTTTTTTTTTTAACAAGCATTGGAGAAATTGTGAAAACCATTCTAGTTTGTTCCACTGAACTAAAAATTCAAATATTTGATGAATATATACCATTATTATTTTTTTAAAATATCTGTGGGTAAGTTCAGTTCTGTATACAAAGATTGCAGAACAAATGCTGACTTGGGCTTTTTTTATTTACAAACTTCTACTCTATTGTCTTCTTATTTTTGCCTTTACTTTCAATGTACACAAGCTTAAAATTGTTTTAAGTGTATCGTTTGATTTTAGAACTGTGCTGATGGGTTGGTCAACTGTTCTTCAGATTATTGACTTGGCGACCTTAACTGGGGCCTGCGTAGTTGCTCTTGGACCCTCAATTGCAGGTAACTATAAACTAAAAATTATTGCATTGTGTATGAGTTTGAGCTTTTGTTTTATGACGTATCAATATTTTCTTTTGAGAATCTGAAAAATGCCCAATATTTTAGTGGGCACTGAAAGCACTTTTGTTGTTTGGGGAAAGAGAAGAGCTAAGCGTTAGGTCCATGAACCTAAGGGGACAAGTCCAGCCCAGCTGAGTCATGGGCCTTGGATTTGGAAAACTTTTAGTTGGAGAAATAAGAAGGGGCAGAATGGAAATTAAACAGAAAAATTAGTTACGAAAAGTAGGTTGATGTGTAATGTTTCGTATAAGGGGAGAGAAGAGAGAAGAGACGGTTATGCTTTTCTGCTGTTAGTAGTGGGCAAGGGTGTGCAAACCTTGTAGGAGCTGTGCTCTGGGTATTGCAGGAATCTTTTCTGCAGTATTTTCGTTTGTTAATAATATCTTTTACGTCTTTGATTTGGTCTCTGACATAAGCCCTGGGAGAGGCTGGACCTGAAAGATACCTGAGAAAGTCCTGATTAATATTGCAAAATGTTGTTTTTGAAGGTGTATTTACACCCAGTGATGACCTGGCAAAGGAAGTTTTTGAAGCTTCTGATGTGAGTGGGGAGAAACTATGGAGATTGCCATTAGAGGAAAGTTACTGGGAATCAATGAAATCAGGAGTGGCTGATATGGTAAACACTGGAGGTCGACAAGGTGGTGCAATTACTGCTGCTCTTTTCTTAAAACAGGTATGTGCTTAAAATCATGATATAAAATTATTTTATTTTTAAAAAATTTCTCCTCAAACTTGTCTGCACTGGAGCATGAACTGTCCTAGTTTGGATTAAAAAGGTCCATATATAAAACATTTATTTAAGGAGAATTATTGATCCTTTTCAGAAAAAAAAGGAGCATTTGTGAAGATAAAAATAGTTGCTTTTGTAGATATGGACACTGTGATTCTTGTTTGGTAGTCCTGCTGATCTGAAACAATTTACTTTTACAGTTTGTTGATGAAAAGGTTCAATGGATGCATATTGACATGGCTGGTCCAGTTTGGAATGACAAGAAGCGTTCAGCAACAGGATTCGGCATTGCTACTTTAGTGGAATGGGTTTTGAAAAACGCTTCAAATGCCAAATGAAATTTTCAAATCTTGAGTGAACACAGGATGAGATAAATTCATCTTGTGGTGTTTCTGGTTTAATGGGGTTGGCTATATGAATAAGTTGTTCAAAGGGATGGAAAATGTGGTAAGCTGAGGCATTTTTAATGTATTGAAACTTGTTTTTTTTAATACAAAAGAAACTTTTTCGGTTTTGGCATTTTTCCAGTAATTCAGTTAGCCTCATGTTTGTTTTGTTAATATTTTTTCCATCAGTTTTCATAATTCTGTTGGTTTCCCTGGTATAAAATTTGTAGCCTTTTTTTTTTTTTTTTGGGTGATCTAGAAGCATAGCTTGGAGAGAGAAAATGGATTTTTGTGATGAGATGTTTTTCAATTAGAATAGTATGGAAGATTGGAAGATAGACAAATGAGACCAGTGATTTGATCATATATTATTTTTACCCATATCGTCCTTGGTCATAAAAAAGGGAGAGACAAAATAAATGAGAGAATCCAGGACAATTTGAAGAACATCAAACTTGTAGAAATTTGACTTGAAGCTTGTCTAATCACTTTTTAAAACGATGGATTCAACCATATTCAAAAGTATTTTTGTATGTTTCTCTGGCATCTTGTGGTAATAGACGTGAAGGTTAATATTGTGATTCTATTTCTTACGACCTTCATGACTTTTGAAACTAATTCTTTTTGGCTTATTAGAATTTACTTGACAAAAGCTAATGTAACCTTGCTTTAGGGTTCATATCACTGATATGAGAATGCGTATTGGCGTAGCTTGTGACAATTGCATGAATTGTAGAAGTTCTATTCTCTTTTTTCCCTTCGATGTAAATATATACAAAGAACAGAAGGGGGAGGAGGAAAATCATTTTAAATAATTTTGTCAATACCACTAATCATCTTTAAAGCGGAGATAAAAAATTTCTTTGATAGTTATTTTTAAAAATTGTTTAAAAGATTAATTGTTATTAATTTAAGTTATATAATGGATCCATTAACATTACAAGTTAAATTTAAAAATTTAAACTATTTCATAAGGTTTTAAAGAATATAAAATTGACTAATCTAATTATATTAAATAATTTTATATTATTTTTGTAATTATATATATATATATATATATATTAAATTTTATATATTTTAAATATTTATAAGTAAATTATTTAAAATTTAAAATTTAATATTTAGTATTTTTTTTTTTTTGCTAATCAACGGGCTTAACGCCTAAAGACAAAGAAGAAACAAATTACAAGATTTAAGAAATTTAATACCTAAGTAATCCTGCCTAATATGGTGGGCTAAGAAAAAAGAGACACTAATTAAGACTTTATAGTTGAGATATTTTTTATGAGCTAACAGAACTAACTTATAACTTATACGTGTAATAGTTAGTTTCACGATATACATAAAAACACTAGATGAAAGGTAAATCTTGTAATAGGATATGAATACTTTCAACCAAACAAGCACATTAACCAACATAACTTTGATTATTTTTTATAATTTGGAGAGCTTCCTAGAGTCAGTCTCTAAAATTATATTCAAGTAACCAGTAGCTCTAAGAAATTGAAGACCATGAAAAATAGCTCATAATTCAGCATCCAAAGGAGAACAATAGTGCACTTAAAGCCCTTTAGAAAAACTCCATTAGGATTCTGAACAATACTCCCAAGAGCAACAACACTTGAACCAACCAACACAAAACCATCAACATTTAGTTTAATATAATCTTTGGGAGGAGGAGACTAATTAACAATTACAAAATCTTTCAGCCAAAAAAATGATATGGAGTCCTTGCAAAAAGGGACTAAATAAGAAGCAAATGATATAGATTGAGAAATCAATAATGGAGGGGGGGGAGAATAAAAGTATTATTAAAAATGAAAGAATTCCTATCTGAACATATTTTTCAAAGCAAAATACTAAAAAATAAATTTCAATGCTTAAAATTATTAACTTTTTGCTGAGATAGATTTGCAATCAACCAATTACTCAAGTCAACACTAAAAAACCTATACCAATTAATATTAGAAATTAACAAGTTTCAAATATAAGAAGTTGTAGGCAATCATGTAAAACATGCATAATCATTTTTGGCGTAGTAGAACACCTAAGGCAAAGATTAGAGTTAGAAATACCTCTATGAACTCTTTTTACATTTGTTAATAACTTACTACAGATAATTTTTTAAATAAATAAATAAATTAATCTTAGGTAAGTCAAGCTATTTCTAAGTCAATTTGAAACAATCATTATTATTACTTTTATTTATTTAAAAACATATTACATGTTAAAATAAAATAATATAATCAATTATCTATAAAACTTATTTATTTATTGATTAATTTTTCATTCTATAAAAAATTATTAAATAATATACGTATTTTAAGTTAGATGCTTATTGTTAATGAAAATTTGGTTTGAAAGTTTTCATGCAGATTTATTTTATAAAATTTAATAAAAAAACAAAATGAATAGATAGTTTATTATATTACTTTTATTTTAATATGTACTATATTTTAAAAGTATAAGTAAATATTAAATTTTAGATAATAAATTAATAAATATTTAAATTATATAAAATTTAATAATATATATATATATATATATATATATACATATATATAAATTAATAAAAAAATAAAAAAATATGTATGCAATAAATAACTATTTAATATAAGTGAATGTTAATTTTTGTTGACTTTATAAGTTTAATTTTAATGGACAGCTATGATTTTTATATTAATTATTATAAAAATATCTAGTTAATATAATAATCTATTATCAAGTGACATTTTAGTTTTTTTTTTATGTAGTTAGTATATTTAAATTAAAATTTAATTTTACAGGTAAATGTTAATTGGACATCATTTAAAGAATATAAAAAATATTATTAATACATTTTTATTGTTTTTGAATACATTTTAATATTATTATAAAATTTTTAATTTTCTAATTAATATCAAAATATTGATTAAAAAAATAAATTTACATTATTAAGTTTTATCTTTTCATACTCAATTATTTTTAAGGCATTAAAAGAAGAGTTAATTTTAATACCCCATTAACTTAAAAGTTTTTATATTATTAATTAATTAAAGCATATTATAGATATAATTTCAAAATTATTTTTATTATAAAAATAATTACTAATATAATAAATTGTGATTGAAATAGAGTATAAATAATACGTTCAAATTTAAATTTTAAAACAAAATTAAAGTTAATGAAATGTTTTAAATTGTTTTGATTAGGAATTATGATGAGGGATTCTCACGGGTCTGCATATTAAGTAGGGTGGTGAAAGGCAGAGAGGCACACCCAACAAAGCGGGTTTCTTTGGTTGGTAGTGAAGAGGTGAACATGGCATTAGGCATTACCAATTTGGCATTGCAAGAAAAAGGGTTTGCTTGGTTTGACTTTTGACCTTCCAAAATCCAAACTTCAGAGTCAGACTAAACACACACACAACCTCTTTCTTCTTTCACACCTACCATATTACTAAGAAAAAAAGAAAAAGATAAAATTCCACCTTTTTTTGCTGTCTGGCATTTTGTTGAAAGGGTGTCTTCATGAGAAAGATTAATATTTATATATGTCAGAGCATGACAACCTGTTTGAGATTTGTTCCTTCTTGAAGCATTCTTTATATTGGATCGATTAGCTATGAAGTAGAGAGAAGGGGAGGAAGAAAGAGAAGAAAAATGAGTGTGTCTTTGACTGTGATGACCTTCAATCTGCATGATGATGAACCACAAGAGAGTCCTAATTCGTGGGAGAAGAGAAGGGACTTGTGTATTAGCGTTATCACCAGTTACTCACCCATCATCCTTTGTACCCAACAAGGTTCCTTTGCTTCTTCTTTCTCCGATTTGGGTTTTGCTAGATAGTTCTTGATCCTTCTGGATGAAGCTTGCTTTGAATACACAATTTCTTGGCCACTGAAAATGCCCTTTTTTTCTTCTTGGTTTGATTTGATGATTTTTGCTTTGTTTCCCTCTCTTTGGTTCTCTCCCCTTAGAAATTGATTGATCTGGGTTCTTTTTCTTTCTTTTTTTAACAATGACATGTTTGGTTTTTTTGTTGTTTTGATCATTCTGATTTAATTTTCATCTGGATTCAGGAGTGAAAGCACAACTGGATTTTCTCCAGCAGGGTTTGCCAGGTAACTGCTTTTTTAATACGTGGTTCTTCAGCTTAGGAAAGTATTCATCTATTTCATGCATGGTTTGGGTACAAGAATATAAAGTATCTATATATGTACCATAGGCCATAGCGATGGCATTGTTAAAGGGTTACATCATATGTTGCTCTTTATGAAGATAAATATCTCAAGAAGGTGCTGTTATAAGGGAAAACATTAATGCTGTTTTTGTCTTTTATATAGGGATTATGTATTTCCTATCAAACCCTTTTTGTGCTTAGTATTAGTCTTGTTTCTAAATGGATTCTTCTAATTTGATAAAAAATACTCAGGTTATGATCAGTTTGGGATATCACGGATAGGGCCCCAGGACACTACGGATGAGCATTGTACCATCTTCTATGATAGGGAAAAGGTATGAGACTGTTTCAGTATTATCTGGTCTAATTTTCTTAACTGGTTGGAGAACTAATTGGTTTGCTAATTTTTTTCCCCTTATATTGTGTAGGTAGAGCTTCTGGAAGGTGGAACCTTTTGGTTGTCGGAGTCTCCCTCTGTACCTGGAAGCATGTCATGGGGTTCTGAAGTTCCTTGTATTGCAACATGGGCTATATCCTTACGATTTAGAAAAGAAATAATAGCTTCAGTTGTTTTCAGACAGTGTTTTACTTTTGTTACACAACCTTTGAATCACTTGGTTCCTTGACATGATGTCCACACATTTCAACTAAAAGGACTCGAGCCTCCTGGATTTTCTTTTCAGATAGTAAATACAAACATGGATGAGTTCAGTCCTCGTGCCCGTAGACGGAGTGCTTTACTCACATGGCAGCACATTGCATCCTTACCCCCAAGCCTGCCGGTTGTGTACTGTGGAGGCTTCAATACACAAAAGGAATCAACTACTGGACGCTTTCTTCTTGGACGATCGAGGTAGTTTCTTATTACATATATTACCAATTGTTAGTGGTTTATCGATCATCAATTTCAAGTTTATATCATGTTAAAGTCAGTAACTCAAGTTCATATTGCTTGTAGTGCTTGGTGCACCTATCTTTGTTATTCATTTACAGTGAATTCTGTGATAAGATACTGACTATTGTGGAGTAGTTTGTAACTTGTGAGTTTACTCTGACTGAGTGCAGAGAGCATGGTGTAGTTGGCGATATGAGGGATGCATGGCCTAGTGCTCGAGTGAGGAAAAATGTTTCCCTAATCCGCACTTATCATGGATTCAAGGGTACTATTTTTATGCTTTGACACTGCTATTCTCTTTTATAAGCATGATATGACTATGCTATTGCTGAGAGTTATCTGCTGCTGCTAGGTGACAAACAGGGAGCCCTTGAATTCCTCAAGTTAATTTTTAGAGCTCTCTGCCTCTGCTGGGATCGCCAAACACAAGATCTTCACATTGATTGGATCCTTTTCAGAGGTAGATCACTGATTCCTGTTTCTTGTGAAGTGGTGAATGATAATATTGATGGGTATTATCCATCATCTCATTTTCCTATATTTGCTGAGTTTATGCTTCCTCGCACTGTAAGAATGCTAGAATCACCTGTACAAGAAGATAACTAAAATTATATTTCTTGCTATATCTGGCTTCCTCCCTGGTTCTCTTTTTTTCCCCTTGTAGTTGTTTCCATCATGAATGTCTTTCTTAGTGGAATTTGGGATTTGTAGTAATATTAAGGGGAGGGGTATGCAGATATGCTTTATGTGGGCATATCATTATCAGCAAAATTTGTTAGCTGAATACCGCTCCCACAATTAAGGATGATGTATTGGATCATAGTCAAATTTTAATTTGCTTGTCAATTTCAGTTGTTCTAGCTGTTTCCTTCACAAATGCACTTCTAAATTTGATTGAAAAATGTTCTGATATTTGTGACATCTGCGTAGTGATCACTCTTGAATGTGGATTAAATGACACCAAAATATTGTTATTTATGATTAGATATCTGAATTTTTTCCCAACCAGATCCCCCTCATGTGGTATTGTTCAAGAGGAAGAGTTCCCTTATTTTGGTTTATATAAAAGCAAGCAAGCAAAAGCAAGGAAAAATAATATACTGTTATATCCTTATAAGAGATATACTAATTGATATGAAGACGCAATAGTGATGAATTCAAAGATTGATCATGGGAGAGTATAAAAACCAATTAGAATTTGTCACTTAAAATTTCATACCAAGCATGATTTCCCTCTAAATAAATATCACTAAAAAATGTATGATCTTAGGACAATTTAGATAATACAGTTTAAGAGACAAACTATTTTCTCTTTTATTCTCATTCATACCATGAAGCCAACGGGAGGGAGAGATCATGACACAGGTGTAGTTGGGGGAGGCCTGCGGATTCAGAACTAATCGTGGTCTTTCATGGTAATGCCAAACTTTTACAAAATAAAACAAGTAACTTTTAGGTAAAAAAAATTAATCACACTTTTAACCTATGTCTGAATTTATATTTTTAATTTAATTATTTACATATAGTTCTCCATTTTTTAATTATTGAAAGTAAGACTAGTCCTAAATTTTATCACATAATTAATAGAAATATAACAGAAGTATGACTTGTTATTAATTAAAATAAATTCACAAAATATATCATATATTTAAAAAAATTTAACTTGTTACATTTTATATATTATTTATTTATTTAAATATTTTATACATTTGCTTCTTCATTTCTCCTAACATTCTTTCCAAATTTATAAAACAAACAAGATAAAACTTCTCCTCTCCTTTCCCCTATGTTTTCTTCTAACCAAACATAAATCAATTCTTGTTGGTAAACCAGGGTTCAAATTCAAATGATCTTTAGACAAAAGACTTAGCTACTAAACAAGGCAACTTAATTCACAAGTGGCAACATGTTAACTAATACTGTAAATTGTTTAATGCTAGCATAATAATAACGCAAAATTAATTCTTAATTTATGCATAATAAAACTAATGGTAAGAGATCCGGAAGGGAAAAAGAAAAGGATGTACTCACGCATGAAAGATTATTTTTCTGATATTAGATGGAAAAATGGAAGATGATAAAACGGTGTGCACTGCTTTTTACGATGTTTTATATAAATATGAGATGACCAATATTGGTTAATTTGCATTTATTTATTTTTCTTAATTTTCATTGTTTGAACATTTATTCCGTTATACATAGATCAATAAGATGATTTTTTATGAAATTTTTTTTAGAGGTTATGTTTACTAATAAAACATTGGAATATCTGCCAAGTCTATAGTGACTAACTGTTTTTTAATTTAAGAATTAGTGCGTAATCATTGTATTCGACTTTTTCTTGCATTGAGGAAGCAGTTCATGTAACGTCTGTGCGTAAAAATAACATTCTTAAAGCATTATTTCTTACCATTATCGCTTAAATTAAATATATATATATATTTAAATTCGAGCACTGTTATTAATTATGATTAGTAAGTTTTCAAAACAATATATGAATATTATTAAACTAAATATTTTTTGAATAAAAAAAAATACTATGACTACTTAAAAAAATTTCAAATAATAATAGTTATTATTAACAAATATTCTATCAGATTAAATAGGACTAAATTAAAAGTATACATTATTTTTTAAATTAAGAAATAAATTATGAAAAAATAAAATTCTGAATTTAAATTTCATTAAAAAATTAAATACCCTATGCAATAGAAGCAATGTGGCATAATTAAGAGAAAAGAACAACTCTTAAAATATTCTTTAGTACTCGATACCTAGATTTATTAGATTTAATCGATAGAGATAGGTTGATTTGAACTTAATTCAAGGGGTACGAGAATCGAATTTCAATGCAGCCACATTTTGCTTGAAAGAGTTGATCCAAACGTCATTCTTCGCCACCAGAGCTAACCATTCCAATCCAATTAATATAATGAACATGAGTGGATGGTTTGTTTGTTAATCACCGTTAAAACTACGTGATCCATTCACTGCCGCATGTCATGGTCTCATTTCATGGTCATGGATTAGTAATGTCTCGCAAATCCTCACATTTGTGTCTCAACTACTTTTCAAAAAATAAAATTTGTATTTTGACGATCAAGGCTAAGAAAATAACAACAGAGCAGGGGACACGAACAAAACAGCGGAAGAGAAAGAGAGAGTGAAGCGTGTGTTGTATGAAAAAATGGCGAGAGAGCCTCTGGCTAGTGACCTATGGATCTCTGTGTGTATTTGCATTCTGTTCATTGCCCACCAATGTAACTGTTTTTACCTCCCTGGTGTTGCACCTGAGGATTTCTGGAAGGTCTTTACATTTCTTGTTTTCCTTCAAAATGTTTTCTTTTCAAGTATTTTAAGCGTGTTCATTCCTTGCCTCATTGAATCTCTGCTAGATCAGTGATCGGTGGTTTTGGTTATATGGCATCTCCATCCCTTCTTTACCTTGTTGGATTTAGATATTTGTGGTTTCACAATGGGGGTTCTCATGATTTTTTTTTTCTTTATTTTTCTGTTTCGGAAATTTAGTGAACTTTCCTTGGACGTGTGGGGTTCATGGGATCCAAGCTTTTATTCTTGTTATCTAAGAGTTATTTGTTCAAGTAACAATCATGACTCGATCCTCTTTGGTTCATTTTCATGGGGAAAAGTAATTGAAATTCTGTGATAAGATGAGATTTTGAGGGTGACTCAGAAATAGTGAGAGAATCCCATGTTTTCACGGCTAGTTTACTCTATGATCGATGCGACCATGCAATGCCAATGCCAGCAATGGTGGGAATTGCAGGAATTAAGCGTGTATTGTCCCTCGCATAATTATATATATTTGTCATTCTATGCTTGCAGCAAAATTTTGTATTTCCTAGACGTAGTTGACGGTTTATTGACCTGATTCAATCAATGCATAAGTGATCAGCCAAAGAAGCAGGTGATAACTTTTCCAAAATCATCACATTGTTTATTGGTGACAGGGGGATCCGTTGAGGGTGAAAGTGAACAAGCTGACTTCCACAAAAACACAACTTCCTTACTCATACTATTCACTGCCTTATTGTCAGCCAGATCGCATTGTTGACAGTGCAGAAAATCTTGGGGAAGTTCTACGGGGTGACCGCATTGAAAACTCTCCTTATGTGGTTGGTTTAAATTTTTAGGACAGGGTTGTAACTTTCTACCTTTTGTATAATGTGTTTTAACTCTAAAATATTGAAGCAATTTGATTCTTTCAGTTTAAAATGAGAGAACCACAGTTGTGCAATGTTGTGTGTCGTCTAACTCTCAATGCAAAAACGGCGAATGAGTTCAAGGAAAAGATAGATGATGAGTATCGGGTGAACATGTGAGACATCAGTACTCTTTTAAAGTTAAACTTACGCAATTTTGTGTCAATGTCTTTGTGAAAACGGATATTTTATCCTCGCATTGTTGCAGGATTTTAGACAATCTTCCTTTGGTGGTTCCTCTAAGAAGGCTCGATCAGGAAGTATATCTGCATGGCTTCCTTGTTGGTCTTAAAGGACAGTATTCTGGAGTATGTACAAGCTTGCTGAGCGCTGAACATTACTATATAACCATTGTTTTGAATTCATTCTAACTCTTGCACTCGACTCTTGACAGATCAAAGACGAAAAGTATTTTATCCACAACCACTTGGCATTTATGATTAAGTATCATAGAGATCCAGAGATAGAGTTGTCAAGGATTGTAGGATTTGAGGTTAAACCATTCAGGTTGTTTTATAATTCTTTTCCACCTGGTTGTTAAAAGTAGTTTTGTGTTAATCTCTTAATTTCCCAGTTAATAATACTTGTACGTTGAAATTATTCCTATGAGTTCAGTATAAAGCACGAATATGAAGGTGAATGGAATGAGAATACCCGCTTAACTACCTGTGATCCCCATGCAAAGAAGTTAGTCTCCAGCTCTGAATCTCCTCAAGAGGTTGAAGACAAGAAAGAAATCATTTTCACCTATGATGTTGAGTTTGAGGTTAGCTATCAAAATTCATAGCAATTGAACAGAAATAGATTTTGGTGTTGATTTAATTATTAATTTTGGAATTTTTTACCTTGCAGGCGAGTGATGTGAAGTGGGCATATCGCTGGGATACCTATCTTCTAATGGCCGATGACCAGATTCACTGGTTTTCAATTGTCAATTCTTTAATGATTGTCCTTTTCCTTTCAGGAATGGTGGCTATGATAATGATGCGGACACTTTATCGTGATATCTCGAAGTATAATCAATTAGAGACACAAGAAGAAGCCCAAGAAGAGACAGGATGGAAACTTGTCCATGGGGATGTTTTCCGGCCTCCATCAAACTCAGACTTACTCTGTGTGTATGTTGGAACAGGTGTTCAGTTTTTTGGAATGATTCTTGTCACCATGATCTTTGCTGCCCTTGGATTTCTGTCTCCCTCAAATAGAGGGGGGTTGATGACAGCTATGCTCTTGCTCTGGGTATTTATGGGACTGCTCGCTGGATATGCTTCAGCACGTCTTTATAAGATGTTCAAAGGAGCAGAATGGAAGAAAATCACTCTCAGGACAGCCTCTATGTTTCCTGCCACTGCCTTTGCTATATACTTTGTGCTAAATGCTCTAATTTGGGGGCAGAGGTCTTCCGGGGCTGTGCCATTTACAACAATGTTTTCTCTTCTTTTCTTATGGTTTGGCATCTCATTTCCACTTGTCTTTGTTGGTGGTTACGTGGGGTTTAGAAAGCCAGCAATTGAGAATCCTGTAAAGACAAACAAAATAGCTAGGCAGATTCCAGAAAAGGCTTGGTACATGAATCCTGTCTGCTCTATTCTAATAGGAGGCATACTCCCATTTGGCGCGGTCTTCATTGAGCTTTTCTTCATTCTCACATCAATCTGGTTACACCAATTTTATTATATATTTGGCTTCCTGTTCATTGTGTTCATCATCCTCATTATCACCTGTGCTGAGATCACAATTGTTCTCTGCTACTTTCAGCTGTGTAGTGAAGACTACAATTGGTGGTGGAGGTCATATCTGACTTCAGGTTCCTCTGCACTCTACCTTTTCCTATATGCCGTTTTTTATTTCTTCACAAAACTTGAGATCACAAAACCCGTATCTGGAGTACTGTATTTTGGGTACATGCTGCTGCTTTCATATGCATTTTTTGTGTTGACTGGAACAATTGGTTTCTATGCATGCTTCTGGTTCACAAGGCTGATCTATTCATCAGTGAAAATTGACTGACTCTTGTCAATTTTAAGTCATCCCTGTGGTTCCAGTTCCAAGTTGAAGCACAGAAATGTTTAGTCTCCTCAGTATAGGATGCTCTACTACAGTTCTTAATTTTAGTTCAAGTCATCAAGTGTATTTTCCAAATATCCATATTTTGTAATCTTTCTTAGTATCCTTCCCTCTTCTCGGTATACTTGAATATTCTCATTGTTTTGTATGGCACATTCATGAGCATTATTGCAATATGCCTGTCCTCAATGTCTATCTTAGAAAAAGAATGAATTCTTGCAATTAGTAGATGTAAACTTCGGTTTAGATCCTGTATTAAGAAATAAATCACTTTTGTCAATAAGAAATGTTATAAATATCCCAATCTTTCAGAGTTTTTACTTGAATGTTTCTGATAGACACATTTCATAGGAACGGATCATTGTTTCCCTTGTGCTAATTACTTGGTGCTTGTTATAAAACAAAGGTACAAGGAAGGAAATAAGATTGGGAATGTCAGAGTTGTACCTGACTAATTGACTCCCGATTTTACTTGTATGCAACCAAGACCATAAATTAGGAACACGTTAGTGCTCTAGGTAGAATAGTCAGCACAAGTATGAAACCATGATTTTGGTAAGGTTCTTTGGTCTCGATCAGCATCACCAGCCAACTTGGCTGTGCGGATGCAGGGTACATAGATATTCAAGCTAAGCTTGAACCTGGCTTGCTGTACTGACGGGCAATTGAAGGGATTTTGGCTGGACAGCATTCACCTGAAAAATAATTGCAAAATAATGAGGGAATGAGCTAGACAACAAGTAGACAAGAATATTGCAGCTTTAATATTAATAATGAGCCAGTACATAATTTGAAGTGGCTCTGAATGGAAGTGAAAAGCACATTTGAATTTTAGGAGGTATATTCTCTGCTTGCCTAGTTATTATCTTTAATTATGCTGAAAAGGATTCCAGTCGAAAACCACAAGCATATTAAATCTTACATTACTTGTGGATGACAAATAAGACAGACCTTGATTCTGCCAACCAATAACTTCAATAATAAACTTAACAGTACATCCGTTTACATGGTCGGTGGTTGGCCTAATATGACAACCAGTCGGCTTAATGTATAATACTATATAATTTACAAGGTAACAGATGAAAGAGTCATTACAACTCTTGAGACCCTCACAACTGCCATAGAATAACTGTATAATACATTGCTTACGACCTTCACAAGTTCAATCGTAATAGTCAATGGAAACAAACATTTCAAGCACTTAGTTACACATGAAAATTTTAGTCTGCATCTGCAGTAAAGTCAGGCTCAGGGGGTTTCTGTAGTTTCACTAACTCCCTGGCAGTCTTAGCAATTCGATTGCGGTGTACACCACGAAGTGTGTGTGCAGCAAACTTTGAGGCTAACAAGGCAGCACCAAAGCTGTAGGAACTGCCACCAGCATTTTCATGAGTTCCTTCTGACTCATCAGCATCTTCTTCCTTTAGACGAAGCTTCATTATTTTCTTTTTAGAATACCGACGCCATGCTGCTTGAATAAAGCATGCAGCCCAAGTCCTCCATTGTTGAGAGTAAAAACGGAAAGTGTGTTGAACCTGTCTACTGTGAAGGCGCCTAAACTGGCTGGCAACAAATTTTAATTCATCGGCAGTTAAGGCAAAAGCCTCAACCTCTGTTAATGCCTTAACTGTTCGAGTAGAAGATGGAAGATTAGAACCAGATTTAGGATCCAGGGCCCAGGTTAAAAGCTCCTCCCCACAAAAGTCAGCTTCTTTTAGAAAACTGCGGTTGAAAAATCCACTCCTCCCACCATCTGTGGTAACACTCTCCAGGCGACCACGTATGATGAAAAGCATCTCATCAACTGGATCTCCTTCCCGAACAATGTAAGTATTCTCTGTAAATAAACATGGTTTCAGCCTCTCACATATGGCATCAAGCAATCTCTCATCCATACTCTCAAATAGTGGAACCTACAAATCCATGAAAAGCAATCAATGAATTAATAAATTCAGATGTTCAAACATCAATGGATATGGTAATCTGAGAGAGAGATTTAGTCCCAAAAATCTCAGAGAGGCAGCACATGATTTTACGTCTAAAAGAATTTGAAAAGCAGATATAGAGTCAATGAGACAGAAGAATCAAATAATTATACTCATGCAAAAGGACCAAATAAGCATAACCCTGGGTAAAGAAAACATACCCTCCTCACTAAGGCCAAACAGAGATGACGCTTAATATCTCTTCTAAGATCCTTAGGTAGACTCTGAACTAAATTTTCTTCATCTACACCACGTGTTGCCAGCCACTTATATTGATCATACCGTCTCACACGCTCCCTAAGATCTTGTGGGAGCAGGCGGTGATGCATCCACTGTTCTGAATCGCGCCTTTTGACTCTCATTTCCTCGAGCCTAATGGTAAGAGACTGAAGATATGTCTGTAATCAAGCGGAAAATACAGAAACCTCAGTATTGGGTACAAAAAAATCTTCTCTTTCATACTTTGATGGACATAAATTTCAAAGCTATTTATTTACAAGGCCATTTTGTGATAACGAGAAACATTTGGAACAAACTTAAAAATATTAAGTGTTAATTGTGCATTACATGCATGTCGATGTGAATGTAAATTTGCTGGAATTTCTTAAGGCAGAATTATATCAGCTCTTGGATCTCTCTTGGCATGAACATGAGCAGTTCTCAACTGCAAAGAACATACATTGACTCTGACATAAACATTGGTAGGAAGTGTATTGGGTGAAAGTGCAAAAGCAAGAGGAGTTAGATTTCACCTTTTAATTTTACATGCATAATCAAGAATAGTTCTTCTCAGTTTCACGTGATACTCATTATTCATAATATCGTATATATAGGCTATATTGATGTCTTCCATATAAGCCAAAATGACCTGAAAAAGTTGGGGCAAATAAAATCGGTACGCAACAAAAGCATCCATGTCTTATTTTCTTTTTTCTTTTTTTATTGTTATAAAAAATGCTGAAAAGTTTAAAACAGACTAACTTTTGTTCTTTTTAATGACTGTATCCACACTATGTTAGAGCCCCCCAAAAAAGACAAGAAGATGTGTCAGACATGTGTCATCAATGTGTCATGTCAGACACGTTTGTGTCTGTGTCCATGTCTGCACTAAAGTAGTGTGTCCATGCTTAAATAGTTCTCAAAATGAATACTATATGTAGTTCATCAGTTAAGACAGAAAATTTACCAATGGCAATAATAGATTTCATCTTCAACAATACATGCTTTAGCCAGAGAAAAAAGCCAAGTGGCAAGTCAATCTTTCCTCTGCGTAACATATATCAAATCATATGCTGCCTCCAGCTGCCCTTACAAAAATATAGTAACTAAATGACTATTGATGGGCTAGCTACTCCATTACAATACCATTTAATATCATTTAATCCTACTCACACACCATATGTACAATTGCAATTGCAACATTCAATTCCATTTAATCACTCGGATATTGATATTGCTGATAAGCATGAAAATTAACATTATTAGGTAATTCAACAATTCAAGTATCCAGCACATTTGATCTAGATGAATACAAGTCTATGGATACTCCAGCAGTCCAGCATGTTCCTGACAAACTGAATACCAAGACTCCCAGCAGTCTTACTTTCATGTAATGTTAAGTTCAATGGTTTGAAGTATACCTGCATGTTGCCAATAAGAAGTGCAAAGAGGATGAGGCCGGATATAGCAAGTGCTATTGAAAAGATAACCTCCCCAGGATAGGTGCTAGTTTGAAGCCCCTGGCCAAGTGTACTGCAGTAAAATCAATGGAAAATTGGCATTGGCATTACAAATGAGAAAGAGAAAAGGAGGGGGATGAGGAGAAGGAAAAGACATGGGGACAAGTGATTTTCATCTATATACTAAATCTGAAATATAAAGCATGTACTTTGGCAGAAAGCCCTACTGTTCAAAAGCAAACTCTCCAAAAATACTCAGTATTTGACAGAAACTAGAATTAGATGAGCATTAATGTATTTACAAAACCAGATCTTTCCCTCTTCTGAACTAATATAAAACTCATATCAGTATCAAAAAGAAAGGTTACAGAAAGTATCTATTGCAGTCAGTTTCTGAAATACTGAAAAATAGAAGATAAAAAAGAAATGCAACAGATTCTTTGAGGGACATGCACACTGCCCACTGTTATTTTATTCAAATTCTCCTTAAACCTAGTTCATATCCTCCTTTCTTTCATATAGTAACTGATACCCAGCACTTACCAAATTCCTTGCCATGTGTGCATACTGGTATGAGCCTGATCAATGATAATTTTACAGGCTTACTAAAAAGGTCAGTTTTAGAACAAATCGTGAAACAAAACAAAAATGTAGGACATATAACTTATCACCTTTTAGATACAAAGTGAGAAACCAGTAACCTAGATGCCAAACTACATAACAACTAATAGATATCCTTCTAAAGGTAATGCAATTAAGTGTATTTAATGATGAGACTAGTAATCTACCTTTAGAATTAATTTTAATGCAACAAATTTTGAGATTGCAGAACCCTGATAATAAAAAAAAAGGTTAATAAATTTGAGAGATTGTGGAACCCTAATCTGATTAACACATAAAATAATTCACTTGCAATGCAATTTGTTTGTCACAGGCTCACAGCTTTATCCTGACCAGAAATCCTTGTTTAATGTAGGGTGGTCCCTAGTCACTACGACAAATAATTCCTCCAATGATTTAAAGATATTCAAATTTTCTTTCCACTAAACCTTTCAAACACACAACACTAACAAAAGGAATATTCAAGAGGTGCAACCTAAAGAGAGTTTAATTTATCCAGCAACCCAATCCATTACTAATACAACTGTAACCAACAGTGTTTCCTTCTAATTTGTCTAAACTCAATACACTTTTTGTGAGAGCCCAGAATAAAGAGGCAAGCTGTTAGGAGGAAGAAGAGAGAAAAGGAAAAGTTAGTTAGCATAGTTATTGTAGTTAG